TCAAGTACTAATCATCGCATTTCAATGAAACTTGGTACATAGATCCTTTAGGACTATGCAGAGACTGATTAGTTTCAGGGTAGATAATTGTGCATATTAATTACTAATTTGCATAATTATTTTTCAGCTTTTCTACTAATATCTAAAGTACTAATCATCACATTTCAATGAATCTAAAATTATGCAGAGACCCAATTAGTTTTTGGTAAATATTTGTGCATATTAATCACCTAATTTGCATAATTAACCAATTTCCAACTTTCACACTGATATCTCAGGTACTACGGTAATCATCACATATCAATGAATGTTTATACATGGATGCTGTAGGACAATAGACAGACCTGGATAATTGTGGGTTAAAATCTGTACATATTAATTACCCAATTTGCATAATTAACCAATTTTAAGCTTTCACACTGATATCTAAAGTACTAATTTCCATTTTAATGAAACTTAGTACAAAGATGCTCTGGGACAATGTACAAACCTAATTAGTTTGGGGTAAAACTCTGTTCATATTATTTCCCCAATTAGCATAATAATTCATAATTTTTTGGTTCTAATCACATTTCAATTAAACTTGGTACATAGAGTTTTTGTTACATTGTGCAGACCTCATTAGTTTTACAATCAAATCTGTTCATGTTAATTTTCTGATTTGCATAATTAGTTTTCAGCTAAGTAATTTCAAATTATATTTAATGTGTCTCCAATACTCTTAGCACATGGGAGTTCTTTCTAAGCTTTCTTTGATTTGAATTTTCATGCCTATAGTAATGTTGAAGTGCCACAGTGGTCACACTTAATATGGGTCCAATATGGGTCCCATGCAGTGTTCGAAATTAACGTCAGTCCGTCGGCCTCACGCCGACAGTGGGTGTAAAGGGCCTAGAGCTGTGAAAAACCATCAGTCCTTGTGACCGACCATAAATTTATATTTAAAAAAAACGTTCCATTATTTAGTATGATTGTAAGACCAAATATATAATAAATATCGATAGTAACTCCAGAATTGTTTCAAAATTGCGTTTTCTTGCACGTTTGATCAACAAATGGCATCACTCATCGACCTGGGCATACAAGTCATAATTCAAGCTTGCCGAATGATCGCGAAATGCGCCGAACGTGGAAACTGTAACAAACTATCTGATTGGTTGTAGGCCGATCAAGCCTCCGATTCAAACCAATAGAATTTGCGCTTACATTTTATGTTCTGCCATCTTTGATTTGCATCAAACACGCTGAAAACTACACAAGAAAGGCGTGACAAACAGTAAGAATACGAACGGTCTAGGCGTAAACCACGCACATTCCAAATTAGCTGGCAGGCGGAGTTCAAAATGCATGTCAGATTCAGAGTCGGCCAGTGATCATGACAGTGTTTTTTCTGAAGATTTTGATGAGTTTAGTGACGATGAAAGAAATGATGATGACCTCTTTGAGGCTGCAGATAATATATCTGATTAATTAGTAAATAAAGATTTTGCAATTGCAAGCTTGTATTATCCGTTTAGTCTTTGTTTGTTAAATATCAGGGCCTACAGTTAGCTAGAAGGACCTACAGTTTCAATTTGACATAGGTCCTTCGGGCCTTTTATGATTTTCAGTTAATTTCGAACACTGGTCCCATGCGACATAAACACAGCATGTCAAATACCTGTCTGCTACGTTTGTCCAAATATTTTTACATGTACCTACATTTAATAAAACAGGTGATATCCTTGAAATTGGTGCACAGTGGAGTATAGCCACAAAAGATATCCCTTCATTTGAACGTTACATGGCACAGTTGAAAATATATTACCTGGATTTTAAGTAAGTACTCAATATTCATTAATCTCTACAATCTGACTTGTGAGCAGAATCAAAATGTTGAACTGTTGTATCTTTGAAAAATAATGTAGTATTTTTTTTTTACTTTTAACAGGAATGATTTGCCTGAGTCAGCTTACAAATATCAGTTACTTGGTCTTAATCTTCTCTGTTTGCTGTCACAAAATAGACTTGCTGAATTCCATACAGTAAGTTACATTCTGCAGTATATAATGTCATTTCATGTACTTGACTCATATACGTTGTATCTCTAGAAAAATCACCTGCCCACATGTAGAAGCTGTGTAAAGACTGGTGGATAAAATAAATCTAGGTTCTTTCAATTTGACTGAAACTACTGCCTCACTGCAGTAAAGTTTTGAATAATGTTCGTTCATAATTGGCCCAAGCTACTAAAAATAGAACAGACGTGGCCATACTCGGGACGTGAAACAAATGTGGAAATGGTGTTCAACTGATAGAATACATGTATACGTATTTTCAAACTCCCTGTGTTCTTCCATTTTGCCTAATTTTATTGTAAATGCCATAAAAAGTTTCAATATTTATTACGGTATTACTACAGAATTCATTTTTTTAGCAACAGTGGCTGAAACAAGAATACAAAATGACAACAAATCAAAATTAGACGATTTTTTTATTTATGTGATCTTCTCCAGCTCTATTTGCATGTCGAAACTTAGGTTATTTCATTTGTGGTGGAGTGTATGTAGGGTTGAAGAAAATAAACTGTACTGTAAGAACAAAAATTACCATGTACATCAACAAATATTCTCACAGAAATAAACAAATTATTTAATACCTGGTAGTATTTGTCCAGCCTAAACAAGCACTTATCTTTGAACATGCTGTGGTGTTTGTATTATTGACACAATGTTTACAATTCGTTGCAATTTTATGATTCAATCAATACGAAATCAACATGTTCCTAGTTTACCAACTTTGGCTAATAAATTGAATTTTGTGAGCAATTTTTTAGATTACATAATAAGTGATATCATCATTATCAGAGTTTGAATATTCTTCTGGTGTGGTACAGAATTTACAAACTAAAATACAGCCTGCCGCCTGCCCAGTATTATCTTCTCATCATGGAAGAATGTAATACTTATTACACCCATGTATTTAATTTCTTTTTACTTTACACATTCCATAGGAACTAGAATTACTGCCATCAAAAGAGATCCATAGTAATATTTATATCAAACATCCAGTCTCAATGGAACAGTATTTAATGGAAGGTAGTTATAATAAGGTATGTCTGTTTGTGGATTTCTCAACTGGTATTGTGAAAGGGCAATTAATTAATGAAAAAGTATTGTTTTATGTCACATCTATAGTTTTATCTTTACATACTCATGGGTTAGCAATATCTCAGCTACCGTAATTGACTTTTACATTGTAGGTATTTTTAGCCAAAGGTAATGTGCCAGCAGAGAGTTACAACTATTTTATTGATATATTACTGGGAACAATAAGAGATGAGATTGCAGCATGTACTGAGAAGGCATACGAGAAAATAGCTTTCAGTGAGGCAGCCAGGATGTTATTTTACCAGAAACAGAAAGAAATGAAAGAATATGCAACAAAGGTAAGAGTCAACTCCCTCTGGGATTGTATTACCCATGAATAAATTCATCTGAATGGCATTCATTCAAGAAATTACACTACCCTGGATTGTAAACATATTTTCTTTTATTGGCAGAGAGGATGGTCTTTGGGCAGTGACAACTATTTTCATTTCCTGAATGAAGAGAAAGAAACAGAAGAAACAATACCATCAACTGAATTAGCACAGCAAGCTATAGTATATGCAAGAGAATTAGAAATGATTGTATAAGTGCTATTACTACCTGTACACCTTAATAGTTTCCCATAACAACTTTATCCATTGAACTGCTGCGAGAGACTAAGCTTTTCAGCTCAGTAGTTTTTGTGACTAGTTAGGTATATGCAAATTCAGAGTGGATGTAAAAACAGTGTAAACCCTGCTTGTATCTTGTAGGTTTGTGTATACTCTTTTATGAATATTGACAGTAAAGTTATTTCAGTTTTCAAAAGCCTGCTTTGAATGTATGAATGTATTCATTTTTGAAAACTAAAATTGATGAAAGGGACAACTCTAAAATCGAACATCTGAGGGACCCCACACCCCCTAAAAGTTAGATAACACTGCATGGCTTGAGCCACCATCTTTATCCTGTTGTCGTTTGTTTGAAATTATTGATAACATGAGTTTGCAAGATTGATGTATTATGGTGTTTGAGACAGATGCATATTTTGTCCTAATAGTATGGGAGCTAAGCTGACATGTCAAACTGAGAAATGCACTTGGGAGTGCAGGAAATTCAAATTTGATGTGTAAAATGATGAGTGCAAATGATGGGACTAACTCCATGGAGTTTTAAGTAGATAATTCAGAGTCTGGTTACTGAGATGGAAACTGCAACGATTCTAATGGCGAGTCGCTGCGTGGTAGCATCCGAAGATTACTCAAATGAGGATTGCGCTTGTCCATGGTGTTGCAGGGGTGGGGGGGTTCCGGAGAAGTTTTACAGAGAGTGGTGTCAACAAAGCCACAAAGTTTGTTAGATGAACCTAGAAATCTAGTACTTTCCCATTACCGGTAATGTTTGTTAAGAACAAATACTAAACGTAAACCATCTGCTATTGAAGATTAGTGACAAGCCAAAATGTATTATTACTCAGTTAGTGTTTCTAATATTTAAGTCAACACTACTATAATCTGGCTTATCAAATGTATCACCCAGCGGAGCTGTTGGTATGGGGGGGTCTCTCCAGCATCGTCCGTCCTGCGTGAAGTTTTCCTTCAAAAGTACTTGACCAATTACATTCATATTTGTACCAAAGATGGGGTGGTCCTCTGTCAGATTTGTTAAATTCGTGTCAAAATATGGAAATTTAGTGAATATTCCTAAACTGTAACTCAGATTGTTTTCATATTTGCAGCAAGGATACGTAGGGTGGTCCTGTCAGATTTGTTAAATTCGTCTCAAAATATGCAAATTTAGATTTGTCATTTTTGGTAAAAAAAAAATTTTCGACTGCAAGTCCAAATGCTTTGATATTTGCAGCAATGGTCCTCTGTCAGATTGTTAAAAATGTTTGTCAAAATATGCAAATTTAGATTTTTAGTAAAAAAATGTTATTTTCGACAACTTGTTCGAAACCGTCAACCACAATGCCACTTTACCGATTCTTGTTCCATAATGAAGACAGCGGAGCTATTTCGACAGTCAGGTCGCTTGTTTGTGGTCAATCCCCAATTTCCTACTTGGGGTTTCAAGACATCAAGACACAGCAAATCAACCACTGCCTGTGTACGAGTACCGCCCCATTGAGATGCATTTCATTATTTACTGAGGTTAGGGATAATTTGAAATTTTACAGTGACCAAATATATTTGGGGGGGGGGGGCTATTTTTTTTTGAACAAAGGCACAACTCTAAAGGTTAGCCCATTGAGTTACATTTTAATCAATATTAAATGAAGCCAAGTAAAATTTCAAATTGTCCCTGGGGAGTGAGTGATTAATCTGTGGTGCATCTCAGGTTGACACCTCTGTTTATACGATAACACAAACTCTTGATTTAGGCATCAAATTAGTAGCTTTATTGGACTAGTTATGAATGATAGATAATGATTGAAAAAAAAATCTTTGTGCAATTCTGCCACCTACATATGTACATCAGGTGGGATATCAAATTACAGCCAAAGCAGCAAATCAACATGTGCTTTGCTGTTTATATAAATTAAATAGTAAAGCAAAGGGAATACTACATATGGCACTGGCTATCAGCAAATTATAAATCACTGTGTTTACTGTTCGGTTTACTATGAACAAAAACAAATCAATATACATATTACTCATATACTGCATTTAGTAAATGGTTAATATTTACAAAAAATAATTTAATTAATGATAGTATTTGAAACCACATTAACTGCCAAGTTTTTAGAAAGAGGTATCAATGTACCAAGCATTAATAATATTAGTACCTGGTGATGCCATACAAAGCACTATACAATAACATGCTTGATTGGTATTTTCAGTCTAGACTCTAGAGGGCGCTATAATTTTTCATCAGAATATAAATTGTCAATAGAAACACAATATCCATCCCTACATGGTTTGATAGTCACTATTAGCTGGTTCACAATTGTAAGAAACGGCAAACTACATATATTAGTTTCTCGAGCCAAGATAGCACTGTTAGTATCTGAGCTGATTTACAACTTGTGTGACATGTACCACCCAGAAATACTTTAATTTTTATTTCACAACCATCAATTATAGTCGCTGCATTATTCAGTTGCTTCATTATTTCTTACGGCACATGTTCCATGCACCTCACATCGACACACACCTTGACACAAAAGAGAATGTTAAATAAGTCATTCGCTTATTGCCATGCACAACGATATCTCTTTAAATTTACACAACAGGAAAAGAGAAACATCAATTAAACACCATCTATAAAAACTAACTTCTACCTAGCCATTAAGTAAAAAATGAAATCAGCCAATAGCAGAAATATTACAAAAAGTTTGTACAACTGTATATAATGTTATTATATAAATTAAATATCAGCTGTAAAGCTAAGCTACGTAATCCAAACACAATTGGTAATCCAATGATCAATCAGTTTTTAAGCTAGTTTGATCACATATCCCTCTACAGTACTCAATCTTGAATGCAGAATGAACAATTACCAGGCCTACCACATACTATCTTATTTGAAATACCAGTTGGAATAAGGATCCTTTGATTTTCCAACTTGTTTTAATTTAATACTTACCATACTAAAATTATAATTTCCAGATATATAGTAAAATTTGCACCATTAAAGAGTGTTGCAGAGGTTTCATATGAATTCAAACTGAAAAACCCAGGTTTTAAAATTATGTTACGAGTGCTACACCAAAAAATCAAACGTTCTTTGACAAATATAAAAATTATTTGAACCTTCCGGACCACTGTTTTTCTTTACTGGTTAATGGAACATAGATCACACCCATCAAATTCTTTTTTACAATACTGCCATCATCCAGTTTGTCATGCTGTTCCAACATCTGATTGTTTCCCTGAGGCCCAACAGGAATTATCAGACGACCACCTGGTTTCAACTGGTCGAGAAGCTATGTATAAATCAAACAAAGCTGTAATCATCAGTTGTATGTATGATGTCATTAAATATAGTGAAATGATTGCTGGGAATGTTGCAATACTGTAGATACTGTTTTGTCCTCGATTAAAATGACTGCCATCTTCAGTCGAATCACACGCACATGCATATATAATGATATGATATCAGATGTGAAGTTGAACGTGATTGGACCAAACATGTGTGAGATATGGATGGAAGAACAAACACAGAACTCAATCCTCCATTTTCAGACTTTGTCCGAAAGAGGACTATACATCAGTCCAGTATGTCAGAGAAAGTACATCAGACAAATGAAGAGACAGACATGCAGAACCCAAGTTCCTGTTTTAGACTACGTACAAACAAGAGCTGATAATAAAGATACTTGTAGCAGTAAGAGTTGTGTACTTACAGCCTGTGGGACTTGCTCTGCTGCAGCACCAACATGTATTGCATCAAACGGGGCTTCTTCAAGAAAACCTTTCCTACCATCTCCAGCTGATAGAAGTAATGATGGTATATGATTATTATTCATGATCAAGAATATTAAATACAATAAAAGCAACTTTAGGACGGATGATGAACACCTAACAGATATACTAAAAGGTAAAAATGGCAAAACAATCATTGAGCTAGAAAAATTCATCCACACTTGTTTCAAATTACGAAACGAAAAAAAATCCTAAAATGACAGATCCCACTCTGAGATACAGTTTAAATAAAGATTATGATTATATTGTAATTTACAATTTAACACAGTTTTCACCAAATTAAAGCAGTATTGCCACTGGTAGGTTACAATAGCACTGAAAACATTTAAATCTGTGAAAAACTCAATATTGAGCACCTTGTCACATTAGAACACTTTTCTTTCTTAACACACAATGTGATAACATAGCTCATGACGGAAGTAGAATCCTATCACTGATCCCAAACAGTTGCTCAAGCTCAAATGTCATGAAATGGTTTTGTGGCATTTTGGGCTATTATCACACACTAAATTAGGTATTACTACAAACTGGAAATGTAATATGTGACTTGAAACAGCTTGAAACAACACCTATGATGAACTACTTTTCATACAAGCAATCACAAAAATACAAAGAAAGCCATTTTCTACAAGAATTAAACTCGTGGACTAGATGCTGTCTATTATCATGAGATTGAATAATCTATGAATAATAGACTGGAGGGCTGTAGGTGGGCTTCACTCACGGGTCAGTCTATGTATGCGAGTTTCCATGGTAATGTACTGAAGTCATGGAGACAGCCAATCAGTGATACCGCAGAATTCACCAGGTCATTCTTGAGTGCACTGGGAATGGTACTCATATCTCATAGAATCCTGGTGGCATAGATTGATCCCAAATTAGCAGTTTTTCAGATTCATCAGAATGGGAACTAGACTAAGTACTTTTAACATGTCCACACAAGTTAACCTATAAAATTTGAAACATACGGTATACAACTAAAACACCTTTATATTCATTTTTATTCACAAACATATGCACATACACATTATACGTGTACACTCACCTAATAATTTTAACCTTCCAGATTCAACAAGTTGAGAATGTGTTCTATTTACATTTTTCTTAGATTCTTCTACAATTTCTGGAATATGATCAATACCAATAGCTTTACCAGTTTCACCACACTGATGGAATAACATATTCATGTGTATCAATAACACTGTCACTACAAGTCTACCATAAAAACTTGCAGTATTAATTTGTGGCAGTAAAAATAATAATTGAATATGACATAATAAGATACAAATATAAATTATTTTTTTGTGTTTTTTTCAGATGAAAACAAATACATGTACAGACAGATGTAATATTTGTCATGATATGACAGAGCATCAACAGGTTCAGCAAGAATCCCCACACACTATGACTGTGTTGTTGCAATGAATCTTTGTAAACAAGTGCACAAATATGCCAATAAAATAACACTGTGAAATCCAAGATAGACATTCAAAAAACTTGGTACTCTTGTTTTCACCCAAAAAAATATAATCACATAACATATAGAGATTTGTAACAAAAGCTAATTAGGTCTTCTATTCATGATGTAATAGCTGTGTACCAGGTTTCATTATGATCCAGTCAGTGGCATTTGAGATATTGGTGGAACAAGATTTGACACACTGACATACATCGGTATAAAATTTCCTCTGGTTTGTGCTTTGTACACATGGGAGCCAAATAAAGAGAGTCTAACATAATGTATCACATATTAACACTAGAGATTTTTATGAGCTGTAAACAACTCTCATCATAAATTTACATGATTTAATTACATGTATCTGAGAGTGTTCACAGAAGTCGTTGTGTTCCCTGTCTAACAGTTTTCCCAGAATCATAAGACATTGCACTTACCATTAGAGCCATGCACACTGTCAAATAGCCAGTGCCAGATCCAACATCCAATGCTTTACTGCCTTCATGCAAATGATTTGATAGTAATTCCAAAGCATGGGCATGCTGTTCAGGGTGAAAAAAATGATACGATAAGTAATTTACTATACTCGTTTCCAGTCTCTTACCATTGGGCTTCTGTGACTCAGCCTCGGGCTCCAGAAGAGTGCTTGGCAAGTCGCTTGTGACGACAGACTGGGGAAACTGGGTCATAGTGCTGTGACTGTCAATCATTCCAAGTTGTGAATAATGATAATGTTATCAAAATAGCATGTATCTGTCAATAACTGGTCAGCGGTGTGATTGGCTGTCAGTACACAAAAGAGATACAAAACTCTGGCACAACCCACTGCCGCAAAGTGATACCGTGACAGCATGTACTGGTATATCAAACAATGGAAGTTTGCTAAAATAATTTGAGCACATTTCCAATGTTATCAAATACTAAATTTTAATTTCACAAAAAGTAGATATAACTCATGGAAAGATATTGCCAGTGTTATGTCAGCGATAACTATTTGCTGCTTCAAGATTAGGGAAGATGTATTTTGCATAAACTGGAACATGCATAATGACATTTTAGTTTTACACAACACACTTTCCTCCCCTTGAGCCATCAATGCGGTCATTGGTGGCTCAAGGACACCGACTCAGTGACAGTTGTCTCAAGTTGAAATTAAAATAACATTCAGGAAGTTGAGATCAAGCTTACATTCAATGTTATGCATGGGAGGTATCACCTCATGACCATGACAAAAAATATTTTTTGATTACCAAAAAATAAATAATTGAGTTGAAAAAACATATACTGTAAAATACTTTATTTTAGTTGGAATAAATTTTCGCTTAAAAGACTTTTTGGGTGTTTGGTATGGAATTTATTTTCTCTGATTTTTGGCAAGTTGAATGTAAAATACGGGGAAAAAGGTATATTCTCTGGATTTTATTTTCACTGAATCATCCTTTCAGTGAAAATAAAGTACTTTACAATGAGCATGATTCTTCTACTAGTATATGCACACGCCATAATAAAGTACTCACCATGTGAGGAGCACTTATTGTTGCTGCATAACCTAAATTGAAGAAATAAAACAGTGTCAAAGAGCATGTAGTACCGTATATACACGTAATAAAGGAATTAATACACAACTACATGAATATTGAAACTCGACAGCACTGTTTTGTAAGGTACAAGTACATGTACCTCACTCATCAGGAGCTCCTGATGTACCTTACGAAACAGTTGATTATTGATCATATTATAAACTAACATGACTTTTTCAATGCAGTGATAAAATACATGTAATTAGACATACCAATGCTTTGGGGCGAGTCCATATAAGGGTTATATTTTGAATATTTCCCCCTGTCCACTGCCATCATAGCGTCATAAACATTGTCATGTTTTATGATACCATTCTCTAAAGAAAAGAAAATTACAATTTACGTAAAATGACCTTTAGTGTTTGAAATTACTGCCTAGCAGGATTGGTTATTTTCCAGTAAGGCTGATAAGATTTAAAACTTACATGCTCAGTGGTCTTGTAAAAATTGTTTAATGTCTTTTTTAATACTGCTACTACCACTCCGAAGGGATCGGCCAGTTTCTTAAGCATGGAGTGGTTCATTTATTTTTACCATTATAAAAATATGATACCCCACCCTTGTTTAAAAAAAAAAGAGGTGAATTTTTTAAAAGAGGTGACCCCCTCCTAAGGAAAGTTGAGCAAATTCCATGACCACTGTATTTATCACAAGATTTCGGATTTGGTACAGTTCATGAGAAATATTATAGACTTGAGTGACTACAGCAATGACAATTATGTTGGGATTTTATCATTTTTCCATCATGGTGATCACAATCAGAGGTGATCTGCATATAATATGAAGTAGAAATGCAACTTGAAAACATGTTACTTCACAATGAATAGCTTGTGTCTAATTTGGCTTGAAGATAGTAGATTTTTGCTGTTACCTTCAGTAATTTTCAATTAACATTACATCAATATTAACAGTTAAATAGTTTATAGTTCACTATGTTCACAATCACATTAACATAAATAATGTTTATTCGAACCAGAAATAATCAAAGAACGCTTAGAATGTACTTCCATGTGCTGAGATTATTGGAGACGCAACTTAAAACTTGAGATATTCATGGACAAGATGAAAACTGACTACTGTAGAATACTTTATTTTCGCTTGGAATTTATTTTCGCTATTTTCACTGAAGGGATGATTTCGTGAAAATAAAATCCAGCGAATATACTTTTTTCCCTATATTTCACATTAAACTCATGAAAAATCAGTGAAAATAAATTCCAAGCAAAACGCCCAAAATGCCTTTTCAGCGAAAATTAATTCCAGCGAAAATAAAGTATTCCACAGTAATTATGCAAATCATGTAATTAATATGCACAGATTTGACTGTAAAACTAATAATGTCTGCATATTGTCACAGACCATTTATGTATTTCTACCTAAAACAAGTCCAGAGCATCTATGTACCAAGTTTCAACAAAATCTAATGAGTGGCTCATTAGATATCAGTAGAATAGTCATGAAACAGCTAAAAATTAGCTAATTATCATGCAAATCAGGTAATTAATATGCTACTGAAACCTAATTAAATCTACGCATTAGCCCAGAGCATGATTGCATCAAGTTTCATCAAAAACCAACATGTGGTTTTCAATATATCAGTGGAACAGACACACACACACACACACACACACACACACACACACACACACACACACACACACACACACACACACATACATACATACAGACAGACAGACAGACTAACTGCAAAGACTCCCATTGTGTCCTTCGCACACACAAGTCAAAAACAAAACTGAAAGGCACCAAGAGTTAAAGCTTCTGAGGCTTTGAGCATTTCACATAAAAATATAAAACAATTTGTGTTTCATTTGATTAAGTTTAATTTAAATAAGATTTATTGTCGAGGATTTTTTTGACAACAAGGATATTTCCAGCAGAGCGAGAAATGTATTTCGTTGTTGGTGATCAACATCAACAATGACAGCTATATAAATGGGCAATACATCATGCTGTTCGATTATAATCTATTTTTTGGCGATGGATAGTTTCAAGGTAGAATGATTTGTTTATTACCTGTGCACATTTTTCATCACAAACAACAGTGACAACATCAAAATCTGTTTATAACTAATTGTCTTAGTATTAGTCAAATGTATCTTTTTTTTAATTCGCTGCCAATCTGAGAAAAATAATACCGGTATACAAAAAATGACAACTTTTTCTGTGGCCCTCTCGAAAACACAAAATGAATAGAGATGTTTAAATATATTTACATATTACACTTGAAATAGCATGGCTGTGATTAACTATACAACATGGACATTTCTTTTCAGAAAACAAAATCGTATGTATTTCAATAATCTTTCAATATCCACAATTTTACATTTTATTCAGTGGTAATATGGGTATAATCTTTTGTACACAACTTGGCCCTACAAGATTCTACTTGCAAACAGAGAGGTCATTATCACACAAGACATACACAAATTTTACAAGTACCTATACTCAATATAACTTGGACATCAGCTGACTTTGAGTATACCGGTATGTTATATAATTTCAAAGTTATTGTTACAAAACATGAAAATATTGTTGTTCATGTGTTTTATATAGTTCTTGTATTAAATGGTCTACCCACAGTACATGTTCGAATTTCATATAAACACAACGCTATGAGTCCAATATCGCACAGGACGCGGCGCGACAACTACTGCCCTTTGAAATCATTTTAGTTTGTCAGTGATTTGGTTCTGCCAATCACACTACTAAAACACATTGACCACCCCACCTCTGTACTGCAACTCAGAAATAAGGTGACCCCTCCCCCACTGACAAAGTCAAAAACAGAGTGTCCCAGGTAACCACCGGCAATTTCCCCTCTCCAGACACTGAACGAAAGTATTTTAAAATAATCTCTAATATAGGGCTGATAACTTTTTGGCAAGGCTGGTGAAATTCTGGTACACGATTTTGGGAAATTTCAAATACTGATGACATAACTTGTTGACGCACTGCCCCGCCCACGAACTTCAATGAGTGACAGCCATAAAAGCATTTGAACTTTCGGTGAACTTTACTTGTACATGTATGCAACTGCTGTGATAACGCAGAATAATATACATACACTCACAGGGATGAGCTTCAGTCTTTGTAGTAGTTTGTAAGAAACAAAATATTATTCTGGTTTACCAACAAAAAATATATTCATGTCATTACAGTTATATATGTAAAACACGTTTAAAACTAGGGCATCGTTCGCATTCTATATTCCTGTGCCATTCGCCTACGTGCAAGAATCGTTGCTCGTTTACAACTATTTCAATACAAAATATATCGGGCGTGGGCAAGATGCTTCTAGAAATGTCACTTTGCTGAATACAGCTAATAATAGTTGCAACTTACGTCGAAGTCGGTTGATCAACTCTTGGTGATTCGTACCAGAAGATTTCCACGCCATTGCAGAAAATCGCGCCCCCATAGACAATGTCAGAAAGGCTACAGAGACTGCGCAGAAACTATTCATCTCCGTTTTTCTCACGAAGTAATTCCTTCAATAGCGTACGTATCTGGCTGGTTCTATATATACCTGGCACTCAAAAAAATGAAGCATATTTACATGTCATCAAATACGTAGTATGCGTTAATGCCCTATCGAAGAATAAATAGTACGAGTTCTGTCATGGTAAGTAGATCATAAATCATAAGAACACTATCGTTGGTTGCACTTGATCATGTGTGACTAATCAACTAGCCAAACCTTGCAAAAAAAGGAAATTAAACAAACCCCGGAAAACCGCAAACAAACGACGTACTGATTGCAGAGTGCGACCTCTAGGGCAGCTTATGGTTGTTTCGTCTCGTTTCGTCTGTGTACCAAAAGGTGAATGACCTTTGACCAGTGGAACAAGCGACTTTTATTTTAGTAGCCATAGGCTACATCTCTGAAACAATATATAGCGTAAATAATAAATAAACTATGCGAAAAGTGAGTTTATTTAGTATTACATTAATATTATTGTCCACATTAGTATAGAACAATAACATGAAACAATTACTTCAGTCGTTCCCCTAACTAACACACTATGCACCCCTTGTGTGGAATGGTTTGTACAATCTAATTTGCATTCATTAATAATCTGATGTCATCATCGTCTCTCATTCGGCTTGTTACGCTCGACAATGGCGACTGGGATGTAGTGTTTAATCTGCGTTCATGTAATTTTTTTGTTTATTTTGCTCTGAATCCTGTGTCACGAAGGACTTTATCATATAAAGTTCAACCCGTTGTTATTTTAGGTTATCAGTCATTCAAGTTATCCAGTGCACATGCTACGTTTTATGGATTTATTCTCCGATAGAGCAGACAACTCGGTTCCGTGCAGATCACCAACCAGATAAATGTACCCAAGCCAGTGAAAGCTCTCATTCAACTAGCTACACCTTTGATATTCTGTTTCTGTTTTCATAATGGATTTTATTCACCTGTTTAAGTGTTACATACGTATTCCTTTCGTCTGAAACTCAAGTTCTCCGTGATACAAATTACAATATAGTGTGATTGTCATTCATTGGTACGCACGACGGGACCCGTGTCAGAAAAGCAGTACAAGGTGAGGTCAAACTTAAAATAAGTGTGTTCTAGGAATATAGGATGACTATTCGTAGTTTTGTTTGTAAATATCATATCATATATGTTTCGTACGCAGTAATTGACATCAATCAAACCGACAAATTTGTCTCATTCTAGCTTTTAAGCAAGTTTGATTAACATTTTTGCATGATGTCTCTATGAAAACAACCGTGTTGACATATGACATCTAGAAACTTTGATTCTGTTTTGTTGTCATTGTCTTGTTTTGTTACTTGTAATCTGCTTATCTCGAACAGGTTACTTCCTTCCTAATACGGACGCTAACATGACGTCTCTACTGTATATTTTTATAACACATTTCAACATGGTCAGGGTACTGGATTTTAATTTTGTTACTAAGGAACTCATTTGAATGTGAATAGAATTGAGAGGGCATGCCATCTGTCTGTGTTCCAATTTAGCCAGTCTAGCTTATATCCCGGAATAAAAACTTTGTTCAACACGGAATACAATGTACCAAGGATTAATATTTGTTGTGTGTGTCCTGGTGTTGTTCTCATAATGGTAAAAAACTACCAAGCATGTTATGTAATTTTCTATTACGATTTAAACATCAAATGGCATGGCAAATGGCATCATTGGGGCTACCGGTATATATACTGTGGCACTGAACCAGATTAGTCATAGTTGCACCTGTGAAAACCACAAAATTACCATAATTGAGAGTGACTGTATATTTACTTAGCTATGAAAACTATCTTAGACATTAAGTGATTTCTGAGTATCTTGACCTTGGTTATGTAATCATCAGTGTCACATTCAGTCCTTATTTCTGTCCACTTGTTTAAAAAGTAACCATTTCAGTATCCCTTAGTGCCATGTCTTTAAACCACACATAATAAAGATGGTACATGTATTTAGTCACTGAAATAACAGATTGGCTTGCAATTTATGTGGCTGTCCATTCATGAGACCTACATTTGCATGGAACATCACTTTTACTAAGAGTATGGGTTACTCATCTTTTAAATTTTAGATAATCACTTAAATATATATATTTTATCACAATTTCATATTGTGAATTTTTTATGTAAAAATACAAGTGATATACTATTTTTTTTCACCTGTGCTATAAGAAACAGACACTTCAAACAGAAATAAAATTTGGATTTAGCATAGTCTTACAAAAATATTGTCACATAAGCACTGTTACTTTAATACAAACTGGTAGCATAAAGGTATAATATGCTAATAGTTGTCTTACAAATGTGATGATACATTGTTTAACTCAGTTGATAAGGTTACATAGAAAGTAATTGCAAAATTTTGTGCATAATAAAATTAGATAGAAAATCTGCAAAGATACAACGATTGCGCATAAATCCTGCAAAGCTGTGTGCAAAGCCAGTATGTTACATGAAAAATTAGTTATGCTGCAGGAACAAACCAAGATGCAAAGAAGGCTACATTTTGTAGAATGTAATTAATAGCAAAAAGCATTGCTATATTCCCTTTCCATCAATATATATACATAGTGCAAACTTTTTTAATTGGATTACCTATAATTGAATTGTCTTTGTTAAATTTTAAATATAGTACATTGGGATATATGTTTTTTCCTTCAACGTTTTTTTTTCTGTTTCAACCAGTCATGGTAACAGTAAAAAATGTTGCTGATGTTTTAGAGTTATTTCAATGCCTGCTCTCTTGTGGCTCTGCTAAAACTTGACTGACTATTGTCCTTGAGCAGTGATGCTTTTTGACATAAACCTGAACTTGTTCAATTGTAAGGCATGGAGCTCCATGGATAAGGTCACTGGCAAGAGTACTGCAATCATCAAAATGGCTTTATCACCATAATCTTGCAAAGTTTATTGGTGCTTGTCTCAAGTGTTTTTATTACCACTCCAAAACTTATGATGTTGGTCACTGTGTTGATTTATCACTGTCATGCTGAGCCATAGAACAAGGTGAAATACATACAATTGTGATATTTGCATTGAAGATTTAATCCTTTTCTATGAGATTCAAGCAGTTTCAGCATATTCAAACAATGACACTGTGACAGCAGCATTCATTTATATCACTGTTTCTGTAGTTATCCCTTGTAGTAAATTAGTTTTCATAGTAAGTTTTCAACCTATCCCTACCCCCCTTCCACAATGTCCCTCTTTACTGCTGATTAGTGCATGCTTTTTTAAAGAAATTTTATTGAAGTAAACATGTTTGACGATAGTGACGACAATTTATACAGTATTTGTGAACATTCATTGTGAAAGCTTTGTGTGAATGCTGGTCACTATTACAGGATTTAATCCATTGCTATACATACCACGCCTTGGAAATGCTTTATTTTCAAGACGTACAGTACAGCCAAGAGAAGCTAATGCTCACCTTGATTTATTGTTCACAAGCTTCAAATCAGGTGACTTCAGGTCACCTCATTCACTTGCTGGTGAACAGAGCTGAATTTATATTTTTATGTGAATATTTTGGTACACCATATTAGTTTGTGTAACACCAAAATGGTGTGGTTGGGAAACACGGTTACACTGACTTTTCATACAGTGATATCTGATAAAAGGTTTTTACCTTGGTGATAGGTGTTTTTGGCGAGGACAGAGTGTACAGTAAACAAGTCTATTGCATAGAGTACTTTGTATTGTGATGCAAAACAGGCAAACACAAAGGCTTCCATTGGCAGCTTTCCCCCAAAGCTTCAATAGACTTGTTGTTGAAATAAGTACATCCACTGAAACTACAACTAGAAAGGTTGACACCAACATAGTCTAGCTTTGAAATAAAAAGCTATGTTATCAGAGGTCAGTATCTGGATTAGTTGAAATTCTGGGAATGTTGTGTAAGATATTATTAATTGTAATATGGAATGTTTCTGCTTTATACTGCAGAACAACAATTGTTAAAAAGTACTAAACCCACTTTTGCACTCTGGTTTGAACATAGACCCTAGGGTCTATGGTTTGAGTGAGTGCCGAAAAACAACCATAATTTGGAAAAATGTTAACCAAATTATAATTGTAACTTTTCACCTCTAGTGTATCCACAGTGAATATAGAAGGTAGATCAGCTGGTTAGAAAGCTGGTAAAACTTATATTTTGAGTTTCATTTGATTATTTCATTTGCACCTCCTGTAACACTTATATTTGCTATGCATATCAGTAAATTTGTGATAATATTTTTTTTTCAAACACTGCAGGTCATGATGAAGGCCACTATGAACAAAATCACTTGTCCCGGTAACAGTATAAACTAAATAAAATTGGAATGTCCTTATCCTACTCAGTAGGGTTTATTCTTATTCTGGAAATACTGTACATCTAGGCTGTATATGAACATAAACATAACCAGATGTCTGTCTCTTCTAATTGCTATTTGCACTAAATTTAGCTGTGTTATATTTGCATTTAGAGAAAGACCTACATGTATGCTTGTTTGGCCTTCTCCCAACATTTATATGCAGGAGATCTTTTTTTTTTATTTATTATTTTTAGTTATTTATCGGATGACTAAATGCCATTGTCAAAAACTAGTTAATTAATTGATATGCAAAGTTAATCATCAAATGTATTATTTCTTTCACAAACTACTGATATATGTATTTATATAACCATATCTATGCTGTATTATAATTAATTATATGAATATCAGTTAGAAAACTTTTTTTCAGTGCAATTATGTTTATTTGTTGTAATACTTAATGTAAAAATGTACTTCAGTGTATTTTTGTTTTGTTTTCCCAGTTGTAGCCGTCAATCCCAGTGTCCAATGTCTAGGATAGAAATAAGAATACAAACATGGATGAAAAAGACAAAGACAATTCAGGGAAGACTGCAGATAAAGGTCCTCCACCCTTGCCACATTGTGAGACCAGTCAGGTAGAGAATGCATCTATACAAGGTATGTTTAGACAACTCATTTTGTACATACCAGCAATTGTACTGCACATGTTACCAAGATTTAGTATTATTTTTAATCCCAAATTAAATTTTAGTTTGATTAAAATGATTGTATACAAGTTTGTCCTACCTTCTTTTGCATACAGTAATCACTGTGTGGGTACACAGTGTGTCTTCAAAACATGAAATATATTCAATGTTATATTTTTGGAATATTAATAATATTTATAACCATGTGATACTAATGTTAGGTGTATAATTACAATTTCAGAATATACAATGTTAAAATGTTCATATGGAAAACTATTGTACCACTGTTATTGCCTCATATTGTGTGACTGATGATTTCCTAGCCTTTATTTTTACTCCCTGTGGAGGACCTTGAGCTGTATGTGTTTTGTAGTTTCTACATCACAGCTATGTATGCTGGACGATACATATAATATGGGGGGGGGGGGGTGTCATACTTAGACATATTGTAAAACTAACTAATATAACTACACGATAGTTTAAAGACCATTGACAAATCAAGAAGATGAAAAATAGATAAAATTTGATACCCAAATATCCTTTAGTGTGACGTCAGCTTGACTACCTTCCTTCCTCTCTTTGTTTAGTTCTCTCCATGACTTCCTTCCTTGCTGTAATTCCTGAAATACCTTTGACAGATCAGTCATTGTCACCTACAAAGTGAATTCATGGTCAAAATTTCAGGACTTGCAGGTTTAGTGCAAAACCTGTTTAATGCATATACATTTCATGTCTGGTTCACTGGTTAGTTACTGCAGCTGTTCAGTTTGTTGATAATGGAGATTGCATTCTGCTCATAGTGTTTATGAAGGGACTGATGTAGAGTAATGACTTTATTTTATAGTTCAGCATCTTCTGTTCTGCACTGCTGCTTACACATTGTCGATAAAGGTACATATACCATTGCTGGTATATAAACTGTTAAAGTAGTAACATTTTAGTCAACTTTTGATTCATTCGTTAATGTCATTGTATTGTGACAATAATGATATTACTGTACTATGATCAGATCATTATGTAAAAAAACTGCTTTGAACTGAACTGCATGCAGTTCTCTGCTAATGAATGTTGGAATTATATTTACATGTGGTAAATGTATGATATTCTGGAAGCTTGTTTGTATATGCAGTTCAGTATTTCATGGATGACCAGAATTTATTTGTTGAAATTCCCATATTTATTATAACTCTGAATGTCAGCATTAATTCAGTCAGGATCAGTTCTGCCACTTGGGTAATCTAAGTTATCATAGAAAATTTAACACACTATGTTGATATTAGTAAATACTGTCTTTTATAGCTAGATACATAATTTGTAGTATAAAATTCTTTGGATTGATCATATAATTTGTAAGTTAGTGGGTTTGCCTACAGACATGCAAATTAGTTTAGCATGAAGTCTGAAATAACCATGTAATCTATTGTTACTGTTTGTAGTTACCAACAGTGTAATACACACTATATAGTCTTTTGGTTTCAGTCAATACAGATGTTATAGGTGGCATGATTTTTGAGGTTTGACATTATTGACTTATTCTATTACATTCAGGTAGCTATACTCATTCATTACTGTAATATAATTGTATATCATTTTAAATTTATTTTTAAATATAGATTTACAGTTGATATTTGTATGTCAGTATTGTATTCGTTCCATAGAAGTGTATCTCATTAGAAGCTTACATAAACTAAAAAGTTTATTTTGACTGCAAATTCTTGATGCCATACCAGCCTGACATTTGTGCTATAAACAATTTCAACAGAAAATTTGCTAAAGTTTTTGCTCTAGTCTTGTATATGTACATACCGGGATCTTGATGACAATAAAGTTATGTGACATTTGTGCAGGAAAACCTGTTTTTGAATTTGGAGTGAAATAGTACAGGCCTCCATATGTAAACAATGTGTATGATAAAAATGTGATTTGTCCTCATTTGATGTTTAATTGTGACACTGCTTTCAACACAACATGTGTACTGTGTATCGGGGTATATGTACTGTAATAAATGCGACAGCTACACTGTTCACAAGAAATCTGCCTTGCCAATGAACAGACATCAATAAGTTGTTCGGTAGCTTTGATTGCAATTCCGTTTTCAGCTTCTTAGGGTATCATCAAGTCACTGAATTGCATGTGGCATTCGTCATGAAAGATGGACTGTATTACAAAATCAAAATTTGATGTGAAGATTAGACTGAGATTCACACCATACTTTACTGAATAGTCATTCGGTCTTTTACTCATGTTACCATAGAAACCAAGCAAACATTCTGTGCTTCCTATGTTAGTTTTGTTTAGTCGCTCCAGAAGTAGAATTCAAACATCAATGCATTACCAGATTTATTGTAGTGAAGACAAATAATAATTTAGTTGATAAACAACAACATAATAATAATGATAATAAAGACAGATTTAAAACTTAATTAATTCATACATTTGTAGCAAATGTCAACTTATGTGTTTATGTACAAGCAATTGACTTTTCCCACTGAGTTCCATGCACAGTTTTTGAACTAATACCGTTGCTCAGTGCCTGTGAATACCCATAATCCTTGTGATATTAACTAACATATACCTATTGGTTGATAACATTTTGGTAAAGGTCATCGGTACACATCTGTGGATATGCTGTAAATATATTCTGAAAATGTACATTTTGCTCAAAATGTTTTTTTTTCTTGAATAGTTTGTCGTTTTGCTAGGGTGTTTTTTGTAGCGATAAACCAAACTTAGTTTATAGCTGTACCATATACCAGTAATTCCAAACAAATACACCAAAATCTTTAGTGTCCAAAATGATAAGCTGGTAAAAAGTTTTTGAAAAATTAAAGTCTAATGCTATTTGTTGCTATTTTGTTCTTACAACATATGCACTTTTGTCTTGTCTCGTTTCTTGTTTCTACTTTATCAGGTACTGGTCAGTGTTCATTAATGTAGATGTCTACACAAGTATATGCAGTGAGATGGAATGTAAAATACATTCCAGTCATTGTCTGTGAAATAAATATAGAGAGAGCTGTGTGTCTGCTTGTGAATAGAAAGTGCCATCAAATAACCTGGGTGTGTCAGGTTAATATGCTGCTCTTTATAGTAATGTTCAAGGTCAATTCACTTGCAGTGCAATATTAGTTTTGAATCTACAGTAGTTTAGAGAAATGTATGCCCCAGGTTTTTTTTCTGTTCGAATACAAAATGGCCATACTTGACCCAAAAATAGCCTGAAAACCTATATTTTGTATGTGTAGAGCATTGTCTTGTAGTTGTGAAGGTTGAGTCTGTTCAAACTTGGAATATGGATAACACCTGTAGGCACATGTATTATTTTTTTAAATTCTTATTTTGATCGTCTGGTGGCCATTTTGTTCTACATACTTACTTATTATACTGTACTTATTTTTGTTCATTTTTGCTTGCAACTTGATAATACAATTAATAAGTTTATTGAGATTTGGTACAGAGGCAGAATATTAATTCACAAAATGCAAGTTGATTTTGTCAATATTCTATGAAAAATTGGCTGGTACATGTAGTCTTTTTGTTTGATGAAAATCAGCAATTTTTGTAAGTTTTCGCACATTTTGGTTGTATCTCAAATTCATGCAGTCCAATTTGGTCCAAACTTGGTTCACAGACAATTGTGTGCTAGCACATCAACAAAAATTGATTTGTATTACAATGCAATTCAAGATGGTCGACTGTCAGCCATTTTGTTGAACAAAATACATCAATTTTCGTCATTATTGTGTGTGCACATTTTGGCTTGTATCTCAAATTCACACTTAATATGTCAAAAACTTTGTTCACAGATGATTGTTTTCTAGCACATCTAGGAAAGTTGATTATGTCACAATCTAATTTACGATGGTTGCCTGGCATCTATTTTGTTGAACAATTTTTGTCATTTTTCACACATTTTGGCATTTACATGTTTCTCTCTAATACACCCTGTCCAATTAGGTCCAAACTTGGTTCACAGACAATTGTGTGCTATCATATCAACAAAAGTTGTTTTGTGTTTTGACTGTATCGCCATTTCAAATCATAATGTATTGTGGGATAGATGATCAAACACAGTGCTGCCAATCATAAATCACGTCTGCTCTTGCATCCCACAATACACTATAATTTTGAATGGCGATATATTTTTTACATTATGCCAATATAGAAGACTCATTAATTCAGTATAGATCTGGTACCGGTATATACCCTTGATCAAAAAGATGCATATAAATGCTTACATTTCATTTTTTATATGTATTATTCAATTTACAAGAACAGAGGTGGCAATGACATTCTCAATGGCTTGTTTACTCATGAATTAATTGCCTTAGGCTTCTATCCCTACAAATCTGAATAGTTTGAATTGAAAATAACACTCAGTGAATTGTAATTTTTTTGAGTGCTTATTAAGCATTTTATTTTGTACAATAAATTCATATATTTACATATTTCTTACTGAGAAATTCAAGTTAACCTACATGTACATAATATATAATACTAAATGGATGAAATAACTACCTGGTAGTACTCGTGTTGGTATTTCAGTTTAGTGAAAGTATAATAGGTTTAAAATGAAGATGTTTAATATAAAAAATGCACACAATGAGCTATATTTCATACTTAAATGGATAAATCCTGTAATCTGAAGTATTTCCATTTAATGTACTGGCATATGCTACTCTGATTGACTGCAAAGAAGGTAATTTTACTCTGTTTTGAAACAAGTGCTCTGATATAAATATTATGTCTTGCTGGTCAGAACCCAATCCTTTGAAATGGAACAGGGTACTACTAATAATTATGTTTATGCCAAGGGTGAGCAAAGGTCATCACGAAGATGCTGACCCACACATGCAAAGGTTAAACTATCAGTTTTACTCAATTTATACTCATTATTTATTAGGGGCCCAAGCCCATAGGGCGAGGCCCCTATTCTTATTGTCCGG